CAGCAAACAGAGGACAAAAAGAACAAATATCCATACCACCTCACAGTTTGAAAAGCCCATCTAACTTGGAGGCTGAGTTTAAATATGCCTGTGGGTGAGGATGGAGGCCCCAGGTGAGCCTCCTTAGGGCCATTAAGGCCCTCAGCTTTACACTGGACACACTTGGCCCTGTGGGTGGATTCTCCTGGCCAGTATGTCCCATACAACCGCAGAGTACCTGGGCCATACCTGCTCCTCCCCCTCTCACAGATACTGCAGGGAAGGCTCCCTCTGTATTAAAGCATGGCTTTTAGCAGGAAGAGAGTCTGCACAGATTTATAAGCACTAGAATTAGAAAAGCACTAAGGAAGCCCCCATCAGGCACACCTGCATGACTATTTAGAAACAGCAATATGCATCCCTTTATCATGTACAAACTTTTAGTCTCTGAAGCCCTGAGAACCCCTTCCCCTTGGCATTGGAAACCTGCCTTCACTACTCAAAGCCAATGCCTCTAGCAACAAAAATGAAGGGGCTTGAGCCAAACCAAGAACTGGTTTGACGCAGTCGTTTCCGCCTTGAATCATGAGCCCGATCCTGCCTCAGCACACAGCAGAGCTGACACTCCAGAGCGGACCAGGATTTATCAGCAGCTGCAGACGAAAGACAACGAGGACCACAAGAGCATGGGAAAGCTGACATAGAGTAAGAGTGAAGTGACTTGAGCAGAAGCTGAGAGACCTTTGAAAATGAGGACCAAAGCATGACATGACACTTGGCGGAGGGCAAGCTGTCTTCCCTTTCTAGCAGCAAGAGTTTGTGGTAAGGAAAAGAGATTGGAGTGGCTGGAAAAGAACTGGAGCTGCGGTGGCTGTGACAGACAGACAGGCAGACACCAGGATCTGCTTACACAAGCTTCCAGTCCATAGTAGAAAAATGAATGGCATCAAATGGGGTGTATAGTCATTGCAGGTTATTATAACGTATCATCTGCCGTGTTTGTCAGAGCTGAAGAATTTCACCTAGTTGTTCTTGCATTGCTGAATATCTTGCAGCAAAGCCATTCTTCTGGCTTTGAGGCTACAAAGGAATGGAGCATCCCATAGCTCCCTTTATAGTTTGCTCCATGGTGAATCATTCTCACTGCTAAGGGGACCTGCTGTGGGATGTCTTCCTTAGCAGCAACTGCGGTATCCCTCAGGAGAACAACTCTTCCACTGTGCTGGAGATGCAGCCTGCATTCTCTTCCCTTTGCCTTTGCTCTTTGCCGCTGAGTCACCCAGTAAAGATTTACCCCTGAGGCCTGTTATGTACTCTGTTATCTCCTGCTTCCTCCTCCGGGCTATCTGCATATTTTATCAGTGGTTTTGTTGTTTTGTTTTTCTACTTGCTTCCAGGTCTTTCCTAAAAACTCCTGAATAAGAGGCTGGAGTGGATGTGCAAGTAAAGATCACATGCAAAAAATGGGAAAGGAACAGAGCCCTTAGGGAGTCTTTCCTTCCACCTTCCCATCTGCCCCAGGGTGATCAAGAGCTGGAAACTCTTCAGCTAGACAACAGCTGTGTTTGGAAAACCCTCAGATGGTAGAGTGGGCTCCCCAGTTCAGACCCCAGTACAGTCTCCAAGCCTAGAGACTGGCCGCCTGTACTGGTATTCCCCTGGGTAAGGAGTGTTTGGGTCTCATTATTTCCACTAGACATTTTTTATGAGAATCTACACCTGAAAGTCCCCTGGAAACACGCACAGGTTGAGGCTTGCAATCAATGGGCTTTGATGCAAGATGCAGCAGTCCTCATTGGCTCCATCCTGCTTTCATCTAGGCAAACACAGCCTCTGGGCAGGCTGACTACCCTTTGCCAAAGTCCATCCTGATATCACATCTTGGTGGCAAGGGCTGCCCATGTATCTCTGACCCTGGGGCACAGTGACCTGGTTACACTGGGTGTACCTGCCTGCTCTGCTCTGCCCTGACAATGGGTTTTGGAGTTGCCACGTCAGGTCCTGCAGCCAGCATCCCCATGGTAATTTGGCAGACAGCCACCGGCAGACATGAGGTTTGGGGACCAGTGTGGGGGTATCAGCATCCCAGTTCTATCTGTAGGGCTTGTCACCATGTCATTTCCAAGGGAATTAGCAGCACAGTGTCCAAACAAGAAACTGAAATGAAGAAGTCATATCCTTGACCATACTACGTGAACTTAATTTATTAGAAGAGGATTTGCACTGGCAGGTTGCACCTGAATTGAAACAGGAGATCATGTTTCCCTTGGGTGATATGCAAGGGGCTGGAGAAGCACTCAAGATATCAGCAAATACTGTTTTTAAAACCATACACCTCACCATAGGTTTGCAAAGTTTCATAAGGCATCTTTGCAAGAACATGACAGACCCAGATGTGAAGAACTCTTAGCAAGCTGGGGGCCTTACAAGAATTGGTTAAACTTGGAGTGAGTGGAAAGTAAAAGTGAAGGTTCAGAAAAGAGGATCAGCTGTGACACTATCAAAGCTTTTAATGCAACAGTGAAAGCACATTCACTTCTGCTTCCTCTGCCCTCCTCTTAGTGAAAATAGCATCATTCTGGGGTTGCTGGAGATTGTAGCTGCCAACCTCCAGCCTGAGCCAGAGGCAGTAGGGCAGAGACTGGGGAGCAGAGGGGATCTGACCTCCAGAGACTGGCACATGAGCATTGACCAGCCCAGCAGGCACCTGCAGAACAGGTTCAGGGAGCCAAGCAGGGGCCTTTGGAGACCACTCCATGGTCCCCATGTGGGGAGGAAGGACCAGCATGTGAGAGGAGATGCATCAACGAATGCTGATTAGTCTTGCACAAGTACGGATTCAAAGCTCACTGACATTTATCCCATCACTTGAGCAGTACATGAATGAAAGCACAGGGTATGGGTAGCCATGCAGTAATGCTGGGCAACAGTACCTTTGCCTAGACACACAGCCATGATGTCCTGCAGTCATTATGGAGTGGACAAACACAGCAACACTGAGCAATAGGGAAAGCTATCTGCCCTTCATTTTCATGACAAGCACCAGGAATTTAAAACATCTGATTTCTTCTGCTTTGCAATTTCACATATCCTCCCAGAGGCAGAAGCAAGAACTGGGTCTGGAGGAAGAGAAATCAGGTGAAAACTGGCACTGAAACTCACTGTTCATCCCAGCCTCCCCTCCCGCACTGACAAACCTGGGGGAGTTTTCTCTCCAGGCAGAGAAATTGTCACAGTGACTGGCAAAGCTGCACATCAGAAGGCAGGATTCATTTCAAAGTTACACATCAAAGTCTGAGCTAGGTATTAAATTTCCTACATAATTGATGGAGTTAAATAAATACTATCAGAGGGAGATTAATGTCACAGTAAGGCAGTGTCCAAGATAAGCAGCACATGGCATCCCCTGAAGACACTTCTCTCTTTCCTCTGCCTATGGAAGGCATCTGGGACGGCTGGTTTAGTCTAGGGACCTGATTTAGAAACCTAGAGATAAAACCCATCCCTCATGACTGTTCAGCTGCATGACTACTTTCTCTCCCCATTGCTGTCTTGTCATGAGGATGAGATTATAGCAGGAGATGACAAAATGACAGCAAGACACCTCCCATGCAGATTTCAAGGGGGAGCTGAGCACCTCCTCACCGGTAGTACAGGCAGTGGATAAACTCTCTTCCTTGGAACTGCCAGAAAAGCTCTGCTGAGTGACTATCACATGGTTTTGCCTCTCCAACTTCCCGGGAGGTAGCAGTCGGCAGTCTGGAGCTGCCTATGGGAAAGCAGGTTGCAGCTTGTCCCCTTCCCATAGCCTGGTACTGGAAGGACTCATCACCCCCACGTCTAAATTAACAAACCTGCTGAAGTCCAGTTCCTGTTTGAGGCCCTCTTTTCAGCAGGGTCTTTTTCACAAGCTGTCTCTGTTTCCTTTCATCTTCAGGTAGTGTGTTTAGGCTACAACCACTCTGCAACCTTATTTTCAGGATTTACACCCTCAACAGGCACTTTTTTCTTTGAAATATTTCATTTTTCCCCACCCTGGCTAAAGGGCTAAGCTTTCTGTGGTCAGCAGGACTCCCATCATCCCCAGTCCACTTTGCTCTCTCAGCGCATCCCAGGAAGAGAAGCTGATGCAGGCAGACCCTTGCAAATAACGGTGTCACAGCCTGTGGATACATCTTGAACAGCCGGCTCAAGGATAGCCCTAATGGTCATCCCTCAAAAGGAAACTTGAATGAAAAGCTGAGAGACCAGCAAGAAAGACAATAATAAAGAGAAGCAAATGCTTCAATCTAAATATGGGATATTTATCCATAAAGACCATCAGAAGACAAAGTGGAGACACCATGTTTGGGAAACCTATAGGTGGACTGCCCCAGGTAGCTCACATCTGGATCTGTCCTGCTTTTCAGATCACATTAGTGGCCCAAAAATCCAGTAGTGATGCAGAGCTGGAAGATTGCCCTTGAAAACGATGTAACACCAAACCCATTGGGTTTTGGTCCTACTGCACAATGCAGATTGCTTCCATAATGACAGTACTGCCTCTCAAATCCATGTACAAGGAGGGTGCGATGTGCCCCACTCTCTCCCACGTGCCCGTTATTTTTGGTAAACAGACTTCACAGAACCCTAAGCCACCTCGTATGGACTTTGGCCCTTTGCAGCCTGCAGTGTCTTTAGGAAACAATTAAACTCAGCACTCGAAAAGTTCCTGCACAGAAAAAAAAAAAAACACAGTTAGTGGGCAAAGGGGTTAGCAGGCTATGTGGAGCACAACCAGCAAAGCACCCACCTCCTAAACCCTTTCCCAAGCTGTTCTGGGGGGATCACAGGGGTGGATAACGGCGTTCATAGTCCAACCCATCAGCAGGATCTCCCCAGCCCCCTCCAGCCTGGCCCTTTAAGTAATTTGAGCCTCCAGGCTGCAAATCCCAGTCTCTAACTAAAAGGATTGAAAAGCAGTTTTCCCCCTTCCCCTTCCAGGTCTTTTCTTTCAAAAGCAACCATTCCTTCCCCTTCCCCTTTTGGCAGGAAGAGATGGTTCACCGAGGAACGGAGCAGCTTTCTGAGCATCCCCCTCCCATATCAGGGCAAACTGGCAATTTCTCCACCTTGCAATGCTTCTGGCAGCTCTTTTTTGCAGCTTTCCTCCCCACCCTCCAGTCTTTGGCAGCCCTTAGCTGATTTCCAAACCCTCCGTGGCTGCTGGGGGTTGGTGAAAAGGTTTAATTATTTGCTTTTCTTTGGGTGCATAAGGCGGGGACAGGGAGAAGGTTGGGCCCCATCGCCTGACGCTGCAGATCATTCCCACTTTTGTTGTATAGTCCCTCTCCCACCCCCTCCTTCCTTCCCTGTCTCCTGCCCAGCTCTCAGAGCCCACCATGAATCTGAAAGCAGGTTTGGGATGCATTTGCCTGCTTTGTTTTAACTTCGTGAGCACAGCAAAAGGTAAGAGACTTTGGGCTGTTTCGGGTCCAGGGAAACAACAGGGTATGGGTGCCCCAAGAGGCAGGATGCTTACCCCAGTACACAAAAAAACCTCCTGGAGCTTGCCATAATGCAACACCTCCCTAGTCTCCAGACAGGGAGGGAGGAGTTATTGCCAAAACTGCAAATGGACTGAGCATCTCCCAAGGCAGGAAGATTTTCTGGGACTGTGGAAGTCCTCCCTGGGGCGTGAACAAAATTGTAGAGCTGGAGCTTTTTAAACTGTGCACAGTGCAGAAATATAGAAACTCTTCAGCCTGAGTCACAGGGCAAAGCCCCAGGGAGAGAGCTGGACTTCCATCAGTTCCTTTCATTTGTTATTACAGCAAAAGTAGCAAAACTATAAAACATTTCAGAAGCCCAGCAAGATTTTCAGGAGAATTTGAAGTGACTTAAGAAAATAGATTAGACTGGTTATATCATGGCAAAGGCGACCCTCCTCCCTACAGTCATATTTGTATAGGAACAAGAGAAGGGGCTCCAAATAATTCTAGACAGACGAGATTAAGGCAAGGAGTTCTGATCTAAAGCTGCCACACCAAATTCATTTTGCCCCATCACACAGTCAGTGGTTTAATTAAGAATTAGCAGTTCTGTTGGGAAACACACAATATGAAGAATATGGCCTCTCTTCTGCTCTTAATAAAAATGTCAACATTGCCCCAGTTAATGTACAATGCTGAAAAGACTCTTTGAGATATCCCTCCTGTCTGGATAATTTTCCTGCTCAGGATACTTTACTTCAGGATCAAAGTGCATTTCCCTGGCACTTTCAAGAAGTCCTGAAACCCCCAAGCAGAGCCAACACTCTGGACAGCATTTTTAAGGAAGGGCTGGAAACACAAGCAGGAATCAGTTGCCATCCCAAGAGCACACAAATATCCAAATTGCAGGCACAAATAATTTCCCATTAAAACCTCCCTATGTTTTCCCTCAAACACGTCAGTTATACCTACTGCTTGGTGTAAAAATGACACTTTGAGGGGCAAAGTGATACAGGTTGCAAGCATCAGTGCAAGTCCAGGTTCTTTCTACAAGGGAGGATGCTGACTGCAGCATGTGGAAGGACTGACATCTGCAACCTTATACTTTCAGCATTTGCATCTTTCCTCAGGGGATTTGCAGCTGCTTTCTTTCCAGCCCAAGACCCTGTATCAGTACAACTATACCGTGGATGTCCGGCTGGACCACACATCCACACCATCCCTACGGGGAGCCTGGCTGCGGGCTGAGGCATTGGTCCAGCTGCGCAGGCTCTGGAGGGACCAAGACAGGGAAGAGCTGCTCCAGGTGCAGGTGTGTGAGTTGGCAAAGCCATTGTGGATGGGTACTCCTGGGACTAGTGACGCTCTCTTTAGCTCCTTCCCTCTCTAGCCTGAGCCACCTGAAAAATGACGTCTCTGACAAGAGGCCATCACCTGCAGGTAAAGCACATCGCAACTTCAGGGCAGACATGCTTGGTCACTGCTTTCTGCCATCTTCTGCCATCATAGGTCCGCGACCTGAAAGCCCAACATGAGCCAGAAGAGGAGAGCCAGGATGGCACTAGAGGTCCCCCTGCAGAGATTGCACTGAGCCAGGAATCACAGGCAGAGCTCCAGCAGCCAGTGTTCATCTCCTGGAGCAGTGGGAAGGTCAGCTGGATACCTCCTGGGCTTGCTCATATGCTTGCAGTGCACTCCTATCCACATTCCAGATTCTCCCAGCTATGAAGCCCATACAAACATCTGCCTTACCTCCAATTTCCTATCAGGACACAAGGAACCAGAGTGGCAAATGTAGAAATATACAGCCTTCCACAGGGTCCAGTATGACCATAGTTGGAGCCTCATCCTCCAAAGGGGCTGCAGGCTCAGCTGGAGATGCAGCTTCACATGTTAAAAGGGCTTCAGTCCTAACCATGGGATACATATTCCTTTCTGACCTTCTCCTCTAAGGCTTTGGAAAAAACAGGGAAGTGGGATTTCATGAGCATGCACCCACAAAGATTGTGCTATTGAGGGATACAGTCCTCCTTGAGAAAAATCTTCAGGTATCTACAGGGTGTTGCTTAGGCTGCAGAGGAGATGCCTTTCAGCAGGGAAGGCAGCAGAGAGCCTGCAGAGCCTCCAGAGCTGTCCCTGCAGCCAGCACCTCTGTGCCCTTCCAGGTCAAAGCTGCCTATGGGAATGAAGCAGAAAGCATCCTGATCTCCAACCTGAAGCGAGGTATCATCAGTCTGCTCCAGCTCCAGCCTCATGCTGGCACTGCAGTGGAGGTAGGTGCAGAGCTGGGGCCAAATCCTACCCAAAAGCCAGGGACCATGCCACATCAGGAGAGCCAGCCCCACAGCACAGCCAGCCCAGGTGCTTCAGCAAAGGAGGCAAAATTCAGGATAAACACCATGGGCTTTCTGCTCCAGCAAAATAAGTAGATGATTTTCAGGAATGGGCACACTTACAAAATCATCATTTTTCCCTGGACCGCAGGAATAGTGGAGAAAAAACTCCATTAGAATTTCTACCAAGCAAGATTTGTTTTGCCTAGCCAAGCCAATAAACAGCAAGGAAATCCCTTCCTCCAGAGCTCAGCTGGAGTGACCTGTGACCAACATGAAATAACTTCAAAACCCAAAATAGAGGCACAAAGATGTTAGCCTGAATTTTCAAAAGCAGATTTCCCACCCAGATGGACTTGGACTATCCACCACCCTCAGTTAAGGCCCATTTTCTAGCTTTTAGATGATTTTTCGATTAATTAATTTGTCCTCTGTGTCTGTTCTCTACATAGATCATTTTATTCAGGGTCAATCAAAGCCAAACACACTTACCCATGGTCACTTACTTTTGTGTTTCAGGAGGATGTCTCTGGGAGCTGCCGAGTCACATACACTGTGTCCAACCATTCCATCACAAAGACAAAAGATCTCCTCAGCTGTGTAAAGCCGAACTCTGGATTCACCTCCATGAACAAAGCAAGTCCATTTCTCTCATGGTGGTGGGCTGAACTTATATCAAGTACAACAGGGCTGGCCCCAAAATCTTCCTGCAGGTGGGCTTTGAGTCCCAGTCACAGCTGGCTTCAGCCTTTTGCACCAGTCTGAGGTAGGACTCTAGCTCCTAGACCCATACCCAGAGTTGGATGTGCCAACACACCTCAGGAGAAGCATAAGTTTTACATCATCCCACCCTTGTTATCACTTCTCACCTGTCAACTAATCCTGCTTGTGAAGGTGAAGATACAGAAATGCTTTCTGCACCTCAGACTTACTGGATTGGGGATTAGGTTGACAGGGGACAGGGCCAAAGACCACTGCTTGTTTCATTTAAAGCAGAAGCCTGTGTTTAGCCCTGACTTAAATAGATGAAACTCTGTGGATCTTGATGCCATGACACCTTCTGTAATTAAAATCAATGGGTCTTTTAAAATACATAAATTCTACTGAATTCAATATAAAAATGGACATCACCGCACAGATAGCCCACGGGTTTTGACAGAGGTCTCAACACCTGGCAGTCAAACTCCAAGTGTTCATATAATAAAAGCTTTCTGGGGTATGCATCATGGCAAATTTGCCAAAAAAAATAGCCAACCCTGCATAGCACATTTTTGGCAACAAGTTTTTCCCACAAGCCTGCCGTCTGGATTGAGGCAACTCTCTGGACCTTGCCTGTAGCCGTGACAGCAAAACAATGGTACTGTCCACTTCTGTAAAAGGTAAAGCCTACGGATAAAAAAGCTCTATTAGAATACAGATGTCGTTACTGCTAATGCCATTTGCTGTCAAAACCCACTCTTGCACATGGTTCAGCTCTTCTCTTCCCCAAGGCCTGCAATGTGCAAGCCCAGCTGCTCTGATAATATCTCCCAGCATGTCCCACACTCCCCTCATCATAGCTGGTTGATGAAGCAGAGGTGAAGTCCAGCGAGTGCATAATTTGTTTTGGAAAGAAAACACCCAGAGATCTTCAGAAAGGCCACCATACAGCATGGTGAGGGAACTGAGAGGTTTTTGGCATGAGCTCCATGGAAATTGGTGTTGCTTAGCTTCCACTTTCACTTGGAGAATGTCCTTGCTGATGGTTGTCAGGATGAGGCAGGTTTTGGCACTGAGGGCCATACCTCTTCCCATGCCGTGCAGATGTGTTGGGGCAGCTATGGAGCACTAGCAAATAGACCTGAAGTATGGGCAATGGTTTTGGAGGCATTTATTTCCAGTTCTCAGTTTCCATGCATCGCTCAAGCCAGGCAGGAGCATACCCTGCTCCCTCTGCAGCCCTTTTCTGTGGCTGAGCCATGGTGACACCACCTTGTAATGAAACAGAAAGTCCATATGGTGTCACCAGTCTCCTTCCCCCACCAGCCACGGGCAGAAGTATCCCCTTCGCTGTGGTCCTTACCTGGTGCTGCCTTCTCCCACATATAGGAAGAGGCTAGGCTCTTCTGGATCTTCCTTTCCTACATTTTGCAAGCAAAGCAGGTGACTTTGTGGACTGGAAAAATTTTGCAGCTAACAGAGAGGAAAGAAGTCTCATGGGGAAGAGAGAAAAGGTTGCATTTTTTTTCTCTTTGCCTTTCTTTTTTCAAGGTTTTTGGAGTGAAGTGGCAGCCCACAAGCAGAAGCCAATACATGGTAAAAGACAGCCTCCTCCAGTCTGTGCTGGCAGAGGAAAGCCACACGATGTCTCTAGCCCTGAAGTCCACCACTGGCATCAAAATCAGTTCAAGGTGAGTGATGTCCCTGTGCCACTACCGTAATTGGGCAGCCCGGCATGGGATGAAGGTGCATCTGTTGGATGTGTCCAGTGCTCTCCTGCCAGCCTGGGTGGCACAGCCTGGTGCAGGTAACAATGAGGATAGAGTGCAGCAGCTGGGCATGGTACAGGGTGAGCACCAGGCACATTTCGACAGCTTGCACCCACATCTCCTCTTTCTCCAAGTCTGCATGAACCCAACCAGCCTTTGAGCCATGGAGGCTGTAAATGATGAAGCACTTCCCAATGGCTTCTCCTCCCTCTACAGGCAGCAGCTCCAGCTAGCATCTCCTCCAATACCTGGCCCAGCAGAGGTGGCTGCGCGAAGCCTTAAGGATGCGCTGGCTGGCATGGAGGGACAGCACCAGCCCCTGAGCATGGCCAGCCTGCCCTTCAGGAGAGTCTGCACCCACTGCCCATCGGTCAGTGATTCTACCCAACCCCAAAACTCACCACATGCTCCCCCCCAAGCTGAGTACATGGGCAGGCAGGAGAAGGCTGTAGGATTTGAAGTTATGCCACAGTGGTGCATTTGGAGAGGCTGGTTACTGCTGTCAAGGCAGGATGTGGCCCCAGAAGTGCTGTAGAGAAGCGGCCTGACCTATTACCTGTCCTAGTGTGTAATGTTGCTACCTACGGTGGAAGGATTCCCTGACATAGCTGCATTTCTGTGATGGAGGAAGAAACCTGGTGCACAGCTGTCACATACAGCCGGGTTAAACTCATCACAGGTCTGAGGTCAGGAAATATTTCCACTGCAGGTTAGGCTGACAAGCACAAACAAGGGTTTGGGTTTTTTTGTGTCCTCAAGTCCTCCATGCTTTTCACCTGGGAAATCTGGAATTGCAACTTTAAGGCACCAGGGCTGCTCCCAGTTTATCCTGATCTTTTCCTGACACGTACCACAGATTGGGGAATTTGGGCTTCAGCACAAGTCCTCAGCAGTGGGGGTGGGAGGCTGCAGTAGAGGCCTGCAGGTAACTGCATGTCCCCAGTGGACCCTCTCCACTCCTAAATATTTCCCAAGTATAAACTTTATCCCATGATAATGAGGGTAAAAATCCCACCTAGCAAACCTCATCTTTGCAGCTGAGAGCCTACCTGAAAGCTTTTGACAGCCAGAGAGTCAAAATGGACACCTCGAAGGCAGCGACAGCCTGGCAGTTCCAGAGGTTCATCCAGATGCTGCGCAGTGCCAAGAAGAGAGATGTTCTGCAGCTGCTGAGGACAGCGCCCGAGGAGATGCTGTGAGAATCCCAGGAGCTACTTGCCAAAACTGATTTCTGTGCATGCAGAGCTCAGGCATGTAGGGTCGTTCCTGGCTCTGGCAACTAGGGTCATTTGGTGCTGGTCCCTACACCACACCTGGTCCAGGCAGCCATCCCGTGTACTGTGAATGTACTGGTTTTTTTTAATGCCCATTCTATACAAACACTGCATGGCTTTGTTTTTGTCTGGCTTTGGAGCAGAGTGAATACTCCAGCAAGGCTTTCTGCAAATATCATTGGAGGTCTGTTGTTTACACACTGTCCACCCATGGCCATAGCACCCATTCCTTGCCAGTGTGGGCACTGAGGCCAGGTTCCTCTCTGCAGTGAGATACCTCAACATGTGCAACTTCAGAGCCAGAGCCAGCCTTCTAGGCTTTTTTAACTTACGAATTGAAGCTCCTGAGAGTTAAAGCAAGAGGAAAGCATGGAGAAGAGAAAGGGGGATGAGGAGCTGCACAGGGTACCTTGTTTCTTCTCCAGCTCTTTTGGTGGGTTGTGCCACTGATGACTTCCCTTTTCTTGCTCCAGCCCCTTCGCCGTGGAGGCAGCAGTAGCCGCACAATCAGTGGCATCCTTGGCAGCTCTCTCCGACTTCCTGGATTTCAGCAAGAATCCCAGTTCCCTGCTAGAAAAGTTTCTCTATGCAGCAGCTTTCTCTCCCCGGCCTTCAGGACAGCTTCTCCGCCTGGTGTCAGTAAGTATGGACATTTCTCTCCCTGCCTGAGGGTCCTGAGTCCCAGGTGGATCCTCACCTCATTTCAGGCAGGAGGGAACAGCAAGCATGTTTGCAGGAAAAAGGAAAATATTTTATTTGGAAATGCATCTTCCTACTTATGGGATTATTTTATGTGCTTTTAATGGGACACTGGCAATGGGAGTAGATGCTCCTTGGAGGAAAAGCATTCAGCAGAAAGTGCTTAATTATCAGTGCATTAATTACAGATTAAAAAAAAAAGCTTAATTAAAGCCCACTATGAAATAATCAGTATTTTATCCAATTAAACCGTGCATTGCCTCCTTCAAGGCAGGTAAGAACTATTTTTTCTTTTTTTGGCAAATGCTTTTTGGTAAGAGATAAAACATACTCCTTCTCTCTCTTTTTACGCATTCTTTCTTTTTTTTCCTGCTTCGTATTACCCTTTTCTGGATACCCAGGACAAGCTGGATGGGAAGCAGCTGGCCCCTGAGGTCCAGGAGACAGGGATACTTGCCGTGGGCTCTCTGGTCGGCAAGCTGTGCCTCCAGAAACTGTGTGGGCTGCAGGTGAGTCATCCCATGCTTGGCTTTCTCAGATGTTCCCCCCCTCCTCTGTGGGTGCCCAGAATACCTCCTGTCCCCCACTTCACCCTCCTTCTTTTCTGCCCTCCTGGAAACCCCGAGCAGGAGGTGGAGAGTGGGGTGAAAACCATCCTCAGGGGGCTAAGAGGTGCTGAGGAGGAGTCCAAGATGGTCATTTACCTGCTGGCCTTGGGGAATGCAGCGCTCCCTGAAACTATTCCTATCCTCCTGGACCATGCTGAGGAGGGTCCCACCATGGTTGCCATTGCAGCCATCTCTGCCCTGCGGCGATTCCCCGCTCAGCATATCTCCAGCAAGGTACAAAACAAAGCTGCCAAAGCTTGGTGTTCCAAGCCATCAGGAGTGCAAAATGGAGCTACCATTTGCACATTACCACCCTACCACCACCATTTTAATTGCCCTCTCTCATCAGGTGAAACAAGCAATGAGGAGGATTTTCCACGAGAAGAGAAAGAGCTATGAAAAAACATGTCGCCTGGGTGCTGCAGAAATCCTCCTGGATAAGGAGCCCTTGCCCATGGATGTTATCAACATCCTGCTAGCCGCCAATGAGATGGAGACAGAGATGGCAACATTTCTGCTGCTGAAGGTCCAGAGCAGCCTCTATGCTCACCACCACTACCCAGCAAGGTGGGTCAGGAGGGGGAAGGCTGCATTTTTCCCTCTAGCTCTACCTCTACCTCACTGTTTTTTTCTCTTCCTCCACACTCCAGCTGTGGCTTTTTGAGCCAGCTAGCCTTTAAAGCATGCAAGCATCACTTCTTAGAGCTGGCATTGATGCTGTCTGGAAATTCCCAGCTGCTATAGGAAGAAAAGAGGAGGACTGCTATTGCAGACTCCACACAGCCAGCCAAAACACATTGTCCCTCCTTGTCCTGCCCCATGGCAGCGGGACCCAGGCTCGTGGTTTCAGCAGAGTCCTTGGAGGCCAAAACTGTCTCTCAGAGGAGTGCACAATGTGTAACTGCATTCACCTTCCTATCTGCACAAAACAAACCGAGCACCAACGTTCTCCAGAGCTAAGCAGAAGCTGTACAAAAATATCTGACTGGTTTATCCTAAGCTGAAGGAGAGGGAAGTTTCAGGGGAGCCCATGTCTGCTCATTTCTATTTTTTGCTCACGCTTCCCTGGGAAGTCAGCAACCAACAGAAATATTCAGAGATTTGTACTTCCTTCTTTGTATGGCTTTCTGTAACAAGCACTGACATTTTCCCTTCCTTCCCTCCCAGTGCTGACATACCTTTTCCCTCTTGCTTCCAGGAAGATAATGAAAGACATCATGGGAGACCCACGGATAAATAATTACAACTTCTTCTCAAAAGCCGGCATCTCCTCGTCTTTCTCAGGACCTCTGACAGGTGACACCACAGAGGACAATGACCCCATTGTCCCCTCAAATGGCTGAAGTAGGGGTTGATAGGGAAGGCAGCTTTCAGAAAAGGCCTCAGCTTTATAGAAATGCCCCAAATTCTCAGTGGAGGCTTCTGAGCATGTTCTCCAGCAGTAGCTGAGGCTGGCTGGCTGCCATCACCCGAGACAATATATACACCTTCCACTGACACCCCTACAGCAGGATGGCTAGGCTGTGCCACATACTTCTCCCAAATCCTGCTAATTTGAGGGAGGTACTTCAGCTGGAGGTGAAACAAATGGCAGATTGTGGGTGGGAGTTTCTGTGCTTTTCCTGATAAGTCAAGATACTCAGCTCCATTCCTCAGCTCCATAAGTATTTTTAATAAACTCTTCAAAAAGGAGAATCCTTGTACTGACTTAAAAATCTTCAAACTTCAGAGAGACTGCAACAATCAATGCTTGCTAAATATCTGATTAAATCTTCACCCCTCAGCTTTTATTTCTGCCCCTCTTCAAATTATCTCAGCCTAGCCTTGTAAGGGGTAGGTGGGGGCAAAATAGCCATGAACTGGAAGAAAATACTGCAATGCTAAAGCCTTTGATTGTTGCAAGAATGGAAGGAGATGGCTGAGAAGCTTTCCCCTCTGAATCATTTAGCTTTATCAGCCATTTAATGGCTAACATGAGAGTTCTGTGCAGGTCAGCCACCCTGACCAACCCATACAATCTATTGAGGAGGCTTACAAATTACCAAGGAGCTCTTGGGATCCTGCTTTTAGATGTATCCAGTGACCTCCCAGTTCCTACAATCAATCTTGGCAAGCTCTTTTAAGACACCGTCCCGTCCTGCTGAGCACTGACTCAGCGGCAGTGGGCACAACAGCTGCACTTGCCAGGATCACAGCCTTCCACATCCCATCAACAGGCTCTGTATTTTCTTGTCATCCTTCATCCCTGCTGCTGCTGTCAGAGCATTTATGGTTCACCACCATCCAGCAACTCATTCACAGAGAGAGATGTGCCAGGCACTGCACATAAACACATCGGTGCTTATGGATATCTCTCTGCCTTTCAGTCACCCAGGACCTGCTTTCCACCTTTGGCCTGGACCTGCTGTTTTTGGAGGGTGGATTCCTGAGGAAGAGTGTCTCTGACTTCTCACTGCTCAGCCATGGACAACAGCTTCATGCAGCTCAGGTGCACTGCGCAGAGAGTGGCTGGGGGCCACATATGTGGAGGCGGGTAACAGCACCAATCCAGTGATGCCACTGCTGCACTTGTGTCCCCTCATAACCTCCTTATGGTGCTTGACCTCACCTCTGCACTCAGTGTGCTCCATATCAGAAATGCATACATTTGTACCCCCATCATTGATGTGAATCCAGACAGACCTGCTCTGGAGAAGGAAAACCTATACTCCCCCAAAACACAGTGGGTATGACACCACTGCTGCACAGTGCTCAGGGATAGTTTGGGTGCCCCATCCAACCCACCCCATTGCTGTCCTCCTGCTTCAAGAGGTGCCAACACTATGGCTGGACAAATACAGAAACTCAAATAGAATTGCAGAGCTAAAATTAGACTCTCCAGCCTTGCTCCATACAGCTTTCACATCTCTGCTTCTGTGTTTTAGGTCACTATTGAAGCACAAGGGATGGACTCAATGCTGGGAGAAAACGTCTTGGATGGGGAAGAGGAGCCAGAGCTCATGGCCAGGATGTCTGCCATCTTTTTTGATGTTCAGTTGCGTCCAATCATCTTCTTCCAGGGATATACAGACTTAATGGCCAAGGTCCTGTTAAGCAGCGGAGAACCCACAAGCGTGGTCAAAGGGAACCTCCTGCTGATGGACCATCATCAGGTACCAGATGGGGGAAGGAGGAGGGGTGTGTGACCTGCCTTCACACCAAATCTTAGTGAATTCCACAGCACAAGCCAGTGGATTTCAGTTTTATGTTACTGCAGACACAGGTCTAAGAGTGAGGTGGCACTACCAGATGTCTCTTGGGACTGGTAAAACAGCAGGATGACTGCTTCTGCCATGGAACATACATGGCTTCAGTTCCTTTCTTGCAAGCCCAGCTGTGGGGTTGGGATTAGAAGTCCCAGCAGTCACAAGCTGTTGTCATTATCAACTGCTCAGCCAAGAGCAGTGCCTGGTCACAGCAAGGTCTGTCTTCTCCATCTTCCAGGTCATTCCTCTGCAGCCTGGCTTCCAAGTGGCCATCAGACTCCAGGGCGGGCTGGGGCTTGACATTTCAGCTGACATGGATGTGAGCATTTGGGAGCAGGAACTGAAAACCAGCATCAATGCGAGGTCAGCAGGCAGGAAACTGCTTGGCTCTGGGGATGCAGGGTACCCAGTGGGCCCAGCACAAGGAATGCTCCACCTTAAGCTGGCTTTCCACAGCCTCTTGCTCTTTTGCTTGGTCCAGGCTTTGCTGGTGGACATGTTAGGTAGGGGTCTGGTGGGTGCTGGTTACACACTCTTTTTCCATGGCCAGACCTAAGATGCTTATGGGGTCATTTGGAGCAATTGCTCAGTGACCAAACCCATGTGCTTCTCTCTCACAGGGGAAGCCTTGCCATTGATTTCCAGGCAGAACTAGATACCCCTTTTCTCCAAGCTACCCTGAGAAGCCAGACAGAGGCAGAAACCTCAGTCCAGTTTGACACCATGCTGAGGTTTTCCAGCAGCCCAGTGCTCATGTGCCTGCAGCTGAAAGAGGAGCAAGTCCCATACAGGTAGTCTCTGGATATGGCCAGATACTGTAGAAACATTGTGATGTGCTTGAGATAGGGAAGGACTTCTTGGGGAGAGGAGGGAATTAATGGTTGTACACTTACTGAGCAGGGTGGGTCAAAACCAGTCGGGATGGGGGAAAGACACCGTAAGTTCATGCTGACATCAGTAGAAGCACCATGCCTAGACCATTTGCCTAGGAAATGATGAATATGCACATCTAGGAGGAGGATGAGGTCCGCCACAACCTCCTGACCATCTTGCTGTCACCTTGTCCCGCAGAGAAATCTTCACAGCTTCCAAGTCTGCTGGGAACCAGAGCAGCACCACTCAAAAAGGCAGGCAGGGCACCATGCCTGGGAAAGAGTTTGCCTTACACCGAGCCAACTCCAAGGTCTGCAACCTCCTGCTGGCAGCAGAAGAATAGCAGGGTTGGACCAGTCTGGGACTGGATAACTGGCCCCCTCCTGTCACACACCCTAGTTCTCTGTGAACCCAAGAAGAGCCATTAAGGGTTCTGCCCAACTCCTCCACAATGATTTTTTTTAATAAGAAAAATGCTGCACTAAGGGCATCATAAGACACCACAAGAGGAACTGGAACTGCTCCAGGACAGCCAGAGGCAGTCCTTGCTTGGGGCAGGAGGAGCTAAACATGCCTCCCCATCCCAAAGGCTAAGATTTCCCTTGCCTGAACTCTTCCTCTTGATGGGGAAAGTCTTGCTTGAAGCGAGACTGGTCCCTGTGATAAACAGCCTTCTTTTGCTAATGAATGACTTCCTCAGAGCCCAAGGAACCCTTCTACAAGCCTGTACCCCAAAATTCCATGTTTTCTCCCCATTTATCAAAGCAGGCAGGAGGGAGCACATCTGCAGCCAACAGGAAGAAGGTTCCCCATGAGGGGAGTGAATGACCCTCCTTTACTGCAGTTTTGCAGCTGCCAGATTGCCCAGAAACACGGAAAAATATTTCTGGAAAAGCTGTGGGGGTTTAATTTTTTTTTTCAATACTGCCCCAGAATAACCTTCAGGGAGAAAAGCAGAGAAGCAAGAGAAAATGCTTTGTAGCCTATTGCCAACTATTCCATGTTCTTTCTGGATTAATTGAAGGTGCTTGCATTTATTTTCATATGAAGGCAGCTCAGCTGCCCTCACAGGTTGGGGCTATCTTCTCATTCCTGAGGGGAATTTGCACTCCGTTGCCAGGGTTGGGGCTGATGCCACATCAGGCAGCAAAGGTGGTGCTAGGGGGAAAGCAGCTTGTGTTTTACTGAGGGTCAGATTTACACTCAGAGCAAAAAAGGAGCAAGGCAGAGGAATGCAGCCCAAAGAGCTTTCCCAAAAATGGGGGAAATGAAGGCAAAGTTAAAAGAGAGCAGGAGAGAGTGTAGTAAATTGCAAGAGGCCCTTCTAAAGAGCGTGGACCAGCATTCTCAATCCTCATCTTGAAATAGGGAGAACTGTCTTGAAGATGGAGCTTAAAAAGGTGGAAAAAATGCTGGAGATCCACAGGCTGTTGGGGGAGGCTGGAAGGAGATAGGAGGACTTAAGCAGCACCTGGCTGAAGGAAAAGGGGAAGAGACATTGGTGTCTCCAAGGCATTAATGCATCTCGTTGCAGCTCTGCATACACCCTTGTGATGCAAATCCTCAGTGACTGCTTCCTGATCTAGTGTCAACACTTGAATTATTCCCCCTCTAAGACAGGCAGGGCATAAACCATAGCATAAGCTGGCAAGGGGTTTGGCAAGTTCTCTGTCCTTTCGGTATTATTTTTTTTAATGAGTTATGAGTGGCTCAGTCTATCCTGCAGGGCAAATACACATGTTGCTTGCCACGAAGGGCAAGAGATGAAGCTTGACTGACGTGAGCCTTTCTGGATTTGAGAATCTGTCACAGAGAGCTTGGACAAACATTACAAAGACATTACATTAGGTAAACATCCTTCAAGGGCAGACATTATTCAGCCCAAACAGGAAAAGTTTAGTGGGGTCATGCTTCCATCCCATCCCTTCCTCCCCTTTATAGGAGCCAGGACATACTAGATGTGCCTTTTGCTGGTGCATGCAAATTCAAAACCCATCTATTGAGAGGTGGCTTCTATCTGGAGCCTCTCATCTTCTTTTTTGATCCAAAGTTTACATATTAATGGAGAAGCCTCTGGTCTCTCTTATTGCCTGAACAGCAGTTCCCCTTCTTTCCCCTTCTGTTTTAATCAAGGCCAGAGATGGAGATAAGATTGCCTTAACCCTACATGCAGGAAGGCAGTGTTCCTGCAACAGAGACAAAGCAGCTTCCCTTTTCTGATGATATCTGGGCTTTTTTTGGTGACCACTTGTGAAAATTACAATTAGCTTCAAGTAAATATTGTTCTTCTGTTTTGCATTCTTCTCTCAAGTTGGATTGCTATCAGCTACAACCACCGAACATCTTTCCAGCACTGGATCAAGGCTCACAAGGAAAAAGCAGTATTCCTTCATGCCTTCCCAATAAGAATGTGCCTTTTAAATATTTTTAGCCCTTTTTTTAATTATTAAATGTACATTTTAAGGAAAAAAAATAGGCATTGAGCTTTGTTTTTATTATCATGAGCCTGACAACATAGCGCTTAATCTCCTGGTTTGTGGGGAAAAAATTGTCTGGTTTTCCATCTGAAGACACTAATTGCAAGCGCTTTAATGTACAGAAATAAATGGCATGTGTTTTTATATTTCCTCTGTTTGACACTTAGCTTTTCTGAACACACAGTTGGAAAGAAAAGAGAGGCAGAGAGAAGCTCCTGTAGCACAGTAACAGCATGGACAAAGCTTCCCAGGGATCTGCTTTCTAAGTCCATATTTAGGCTGCCCCAGGGATGCATAGCTAAACGCCCCATCAGGGCTGCAAGATGAGGGCTATGTCTGCTCTTAGAAACCCCCAGAGCACTGTTAGGGATGCTCTGCAAGAGGGTTCCCATGGGTACCCAAAGATGCTGCCTCTATCCTCTGTGCTGACTTCTGCAAAGGTACTGGAGGCCACCCGAGACTTTACTTAAAATCAAGGCTTCCCCTGCATCAAGGCTCTGCTGATTACAGAGCAGTCTCACTCAGAGCAGGCCCCAAGGACACAGAGAGTAATTGCCCTATGGTCTGAACAGGGGGATCCCTGTGTGACCATGGGAGGAGGGACCTGTATCACCCTTCTTGCATTGCTCAGCTTTGCCAAGCTGCTCATAGCAGCTCTGAGCCCCTCCTGGCTCCCCATCTTTACCCTTTCACCAGGAGCATCCCATTATTTCCCTCTTCTCTTGTCTCACAGTCAGGATTTGGGCTGACTCAGACTATGTTTTACACCCACATGAGTTGCTGTAACCTCTGCTGGCATACACCACCGCACTCCTGTGACAACCTACAAACCTGCATAAACCTTAACTCCCATCCAAAACCACACTGCTCTACCAGGTGTCTGGGGGGATTATTTCAACCCAAAACCTCTCAGCCTCAGCATTTGCTTCTCAGCTAAAGACAGGAGGCACCCACCTGCTATTTAGGACTTTTTCCATTGCTCTTTTCTATAACTTAACTACAGGTTATTTGACAAGAACAATGAGAGAAGAATCAGCTGCTCAAATTCTACCTTTGCATGAGTTACAGGCTTTGCATTTGGCAGTGCTGTTTGCTTTGGAGCCAGCATGCTTCCCAGGAGGTCCTACACTGAGCTGCTCAGCTGGAAATGATGGGTCACCAAAGGGTCCTTATATCTAGGATTAAGGGACACAGAGTAATTGGCGAGGGCTGGGGTGCCAGATCTTAATCCTAGTGGGTGTAAGACGTCCCACATGACAAGCACCCAGCTCCCAGGGATTTTGCAGGGCGTTAGAGGCAGAGCAGCCCAAGGCCAGCACCTGGGAGCAGGGCTACTACCTGCCTCTCCAAAAGTGGCTTTGCATGTGGAGCTGCAGATCGGCAGTGACCTCCAGTGGCTGCAGCCAAACCTGATAGAAGTGTCAGGCCAAAGCCATTCTGCTGCAGCAATGCAGGTGCTGTGCACACAGCACCCTGCATCCAAGGATGTCCCCACAACCTGCACCCTAGGTCGTGGGACCTTTTCATCAGCAGGTGATGGACCAGGGCTTACCCATTACAGCCCCTCACCGCTCTCAGCTGGGGTCTTGTGTGGCAATGCCATCCTCCCCCAGCCTCCAGGCTTATCATCACACACAATTTTTGATACTTTCTTTTCCCCTGTAAACCATTCTATTCCCAGGACATTTTGTACAGCCCTCAGGAGAGTGTGTGGACACCACTCACCAAATATATGATAAAACATTATCTGCTTGTCTGTTACAGCTTTCTGCAGAGACAAAACTAATATGAGAAAGTGTGCACAAAAGTGAGCATAATGTGTGTGAGATCATAGGCCACTAGCAGGGACTGGCTTTTCCTGGGAGCTAGTGGAGGTGAAGCTTTAAAGCACTGGGGCAGATCTCTTTTCAGCCACTGCTTTTTCCTTCTAGGCAGCCTACAAAACCCCTATTGTATTTCCTAGCTGCTGGGCCCCAGTGACTCCCCAGACCCCATGAAACAGAAACAAAACAAAAAAAGTGATTTGCAACTCACCAAAGCAGCATTGTAAATCACAGCACCAGAGAGCTGTGGCAATGGCAAATCTCCCATAGAGCTGCAGTTGTGCTGCTGTGTACCTCCCAAGCTCCTGCTGCAAAGCTTGCAGCTGCTTTGGCCCAGGTACATCACACAGGCATATCTGCAGCGCTTTCCTGCAAGCACAGGATATGCACAGAGATAGTTATCTGGGTGCCACTGCATAGGAAGTGACCATGAAGCAGACCACAAATGAGCAGCAGAGCATCCAAAGAGCAGCACTAGTAAGGGGTTGCTGTTATAACCTGCCCAGCAGTCAGAAATGGAAGGAGAAAGCTGTGAAGCTGCAATGGGATACAGCTGTGTAAGCACCAGTGGCTGTGCCATAAGGTTATTCCTGCAGGAAAAGCCTAGGGAAAAGCTCAGGATTGGGGCTGGTGAGTCAGGCAGGGGGCCTGGGAACTCTCTGAGCTGAGCCAACAAGTCTGTAGGGCTGCGATAAAACCCTCTGGCACAGCAGGAAAAAAAAAAAAAGCATGGGGAAAAAATCCTGAATGTCTTCTAGGAAACTGTTCTACCACCTTCATCCCTGCTGATATTGAAGGAATGTGATGATGCTTGCTGTGGGAAATAAGGTATTAGCAGCCCAGAACATATTTGGTGAGACAGCCATAGTCACCGTCTTCCATGTGGGACAAGGCTGTGAAGGGTGACACAAGGACAAGCTGCTGCTCTGGCCCACCTCCCTGCACTGGCAGGGGCTGCTGCCTTCCTCAGCTGCTGGGATGCCTGATGGGCTGCAAGGGTCACCCCATCAGTGAGTGGCTGCTCCTGGGAGTGAACACTCACCTGAACAGACCCAACACCACGGCTCAGAAAGAAGAAATTATATTTAATTCTATTAGCTTTGTGTGGAAATAGTTGTTTCCTGCCACTGCTTTTCCTACTTACTCAATTACTCTTCACCACAGTGAAGAGTAATTCACCACCACTTCTTATTCTGCCGTGCCCAAAAGCCTTACACAGGCATCTCTCTTGCTAATCTACTCCTAATAATACACTTGTTAGACCAACATTCAATACTGGATAGACCCATCAGACTGTGCCCATCATCACTGTGACAGGCCCAGAGCTGCCAGGGAACAGGGATTTGCAGCCATCCCCTGCGGGGGACAAATAAAAGGGGGTAAAGTAGAAAACATAAAAATTAGGTGTTAATTGAGGAGTTAGATTAGCAATGATTACCGCCATAACTTCTATGAAGTTCCCATAGAAAGAAGCATCATTTTCCACGAGCATGGCTTTAACGGCAGCTTCCATGCTCTCTGAGAGCAAAGCCACATTGCTCTCATATCCCACCCCATCCTTCCCTCCGTGTGTCACCAGTTGCCTTTGCCAGCTTGGGTTTGCCACCACAGCCCTTGATAAAGTGGCACTGGGGACCACTAAAGTGTCCCGTTTCAGCTGTGCCTTAGTGATGCATTCATCCATAGCTGCCTGCAAAGGGAAAGAAAAAAGCAGGGACTGCTTATTCAGAAGGAAGTGTTCCCTTTTCCTCTGGCCCCTCCTCTCACTTGCCTTGTCCTTGAGTACTCCTTATTCCCAGCTGTTATGTGGAAGCACGGTCCTATCGTAAGGTGCCGTCCTTCAGGCCAGCTATAAAGATGCTCTGGGATGCAGCATTCTCCCAGAAGCAGCCCTGCTCCTGCATCATGCTGCAGGCCACCATCAAGCTGTGCTGTGGCATCGCCCATGACCACCTCCGCCACCTGCCTGGTAAGCACTGCTTGGCTTCCCTCCAACCTCAGGAAAGACAGGCAGAAAAGAGATTCCTAAAGGAGATACTAAGTCTGCATCTGATGGGCATTCCCTTGGGACAGGACTCCTTGGTTATGGTCACATCTATGCAACTATTTTCTCTTCCACATTGTATCATGCACAGAGTAGTCTTGGTCTTAGCTCCAGACGAGCTTCCAGCAGAGACACTGAGCACCACATCATCTTCCTCTCATGCTCCATGCTCGCCAAAGCCCACATATCTCTCCCTAGGGTTGAAGACAACAGCCATTGCAGCAATACAGAAGGACACAACAGCACTGATGGTAAGAGGGTCCCACCACCTGTCTTCCAAAATTCCTTCTTATATTCAGAGGCTGATGGGGAAGAAGACAGGTAAGCTCAGCCCGGGTGCTTGGGTAAATTTCCTAGCCCTGCTCACAACATCCTTGCAACACATGATAGAGGGATGTGTATTAAAATGCACCCTTCTCCATCTGAATTGAACCATATTTTGTGGGACAGAGTTAACTGTCTTCTCACTGCTGGGCTGGTATCCAGCTCTTTGGTAGCTTAAAAACAATTCCTGTACTGATGGCAAACTGCGTTAGTGGGGAAACCCTGAGATTCCGGGAAGGTAAATTGCACTGGCTCCCCGCACAGGCAGTCAAAGCATTTAGCAGAGCTTGCAGTCACTTTTCAGTGTTTTGTTGCATGTCTGCTGTGTCTTCAGTTCCACCACTTACCTAAAGACTTCAAAACCGGCAAATTCATCTGGACTTTTTTGAAGTGCAGCTTGCTCCAAAGGCTGCCTATGCAATGTTAATAATACCTCAACAACATGCAGTTTGTACCACAGTGTTACTGGGAATTGATTTGGAAAACAGTTTCAAAACCCTTTCCAAGTAGTCAGCACAGACACCACAAATGAATGCCAGGGATATTCCTGAGAGCGAGGTTTTCTGCATCAAGCCATACTCCAGCCCAATAGGGGACCAGTTGCATGGTAAGAGCTGAGACTTTGGGTCAGCAAAACCCTCTGCTCCAGCTCTATTTCCACTTCTGAACCCACAGTCACATGCCCAGGGTTGAGGGGGGGGGGCTTTTCAATACTGTATGTGGGGGGGTTGCTTTTCACATTGCTTTACCTTGTTCCTGCAGCCTGCACTGAGCTGGTTGGAGACACCAGTCCCAGCCAGCTCTCCAGTGTGGACCTCTCCTACATCACCCAGGGAGAAGCAGCCCTGCAGCAAGCACTGAGCATCCTGCAGCAGCACACCAGCTGGCAAGCAGAAATGATACTGGTAAAGCCCGGCCACTACCTGCCTTTGCTGCTTCACGCCAGAAAAGCTCTCAGGGGGAGAAATGAGTCTGGGGAGGGGAGATTTGCTTCTCTTAGTCCTCCTGCTTGAAGGGAAACTGTGGGTGCAGGAGAGATGCTGTGCAAAAGCATGCATGGCAAAGAGGGTTTCCAAGCAAACCTTTGTTAAAAACGTTCACAAGCAGATCTGCAAAGTCAATAGACAGCAAGAAAAAGCTTGAAAGGGGAACTCAGATATTAATGTTCCCAGGGAAAGCCAGGAGCATTTCTGCAGAAAAACCCAACAGATTGCGCGTTTGCTATTATTTACAGTGTTTGTTCTTTAAGGTGTTTGCTGAATTGTTTAATTTGGCTAGAAGGGAGCTTAAAAAAAAAAAAAAAAAGGCAATCATAGTGGCATGATTTAGATATAACAGCTTTCACCTGTAAACCAAGGGGTGATTAAAAACGGGACTGGGATGATTTATTGGTGAGGCATTCAGCACATAGCCAGTGCCTCCTGGGACACTGGGGTTGATGCAGTCTCTCTGCTCTCCCAGGACAATGGGGCCACCATGTCCAGTGCTGCCCTCCCTGGGCTGGGCAAGGTGTTTCGAGCTGAAGTGGTCCTGCCTATGCCAGTGGCACAGCTGCACCGGGAGCTGTTTGAGAGGATTGAGCAAATGCCCCAGTGGAACCCAGCCATCAGTGCGGTAAAGGTAAAGTGGGGAGGAATGCACCACAGGCAGAGAGATACCATCATGGGCAGGCATCAGACACTTTGCATCACCAGGGTTGCTAGCATCAAAAAAAAGTCATATTTATTGAGGGGTTTAAGATTGCTGAAGGATTAAAGATAATCCTGCATCCTGCAAGAGCAGGATATCAGCCCAGGGAGAGAAGACCTGCTTTACTGGCATGGCACTGAGAAACGTGTTGTTTCCAAGCTTTTTTTTACACAGTCCCTGGTCACAGAGGTTTTTCCACTCTGGGGGACTCTGACATTGCTCAGACTTCAATGTGAGGGAAGAAGCTGTCAGAGAAATCAGCTCAAAAAATGAGGCAAAACCAAATATATCACACTGTGGGGGCACCCCCAGGAAGCTTACATGTTGTCTTGGGCTTCTTTTGAGAATTTGCCTTATTACTCAGCTGTCAAATCACAGCATCACTAAGCAAGCTGCCAGACTCAGAAAGCCTCCCCTAGCTTACCTGGGCTGGCTCAGATGCTACCCAACCTCTGCTTACTTATTACAATCACTTCCCTGTCCCTTCAAAAAAAGAAATAGCAGGGTCCCAGCCCAGGTGAAAAAAAACCTGCAAAAAAAAAAATCACCCACTTTCCCTCTTAATAAAGCACAAGGGACTGGAATTTAATTATCACCAGATGCCAGCCCTAAGCCACGACCTTGCTGCTGTTTCTGCTCATGCTGCCACCCCATGATGCTGTCCCAGAGGTGGTTTAACATCCCCTGGGCACAGGTAAGGAGGTGCCAGGGATGTCCCAAGAAGAGTAGCCACAAGAAGCCTAATCCCTGGGGCACTCCTTGCTCTGGTAGGTGCTGCAGCGCATTGGGACAGACACACTGGTGACACACGAAGTCACTGCTCCCAGCCCAGGCAACCTGGTGGGCCAGCGGGATTTCGTCAGTGTGCGGCACCGCAGGAGGAAGGAGACAGCCATCTACCTGGTGGGCACTGCCACCCACATCGAGAAGCTGCCCCTACAGGAAGGGTGCATCAGGTAAAGCCCCCCCCCAAAATGATCATCACAGGGTACCATGTCCCTGCAGGGAGGAGATCACTGTTGCAGTCATGAACGTTTGCACCAGGCACAGCAAGAGAGGCATGCCAAGAGCTACCTCTGTTGCATTTGGTCTGGATCTCCTTGCCCTGTTTTGCTCCCCCTGGGGTACATCTTAACTGCCTGCTCCCTTGCCCACCGCAGGGCCGAGTCCCAGCTGAGCTGCATAGTTCTGCAGCCACTGGCAGGGGACCCCAGTCGTACCCGCTTCACCTGGCTCCTGAACATGGACCTGAAGGCAAGTGCTAACATGTTGCTTGGGGTGCAACAGCAAGGGATATGAATCCTAGTGTGCAAATGCGCCTTCCTCCCTGGGATGGGTGCTCCAACTCTTTGACCCAGGGGGACCAAACCTGGGGTGTTTTCTCTCCCAAAGGGCTGGATTCCCAAGTCGGTCATTAACCGTGTCCTGCCGCAGTCCCAAGCAGACTTCATCAAGCACCTTGGCCGGCACCTCTCTACCACTGCATGCCCTTGAGTTGCAGAAGGATGCACTCTGTCCAACCACAAGGAACACAGCCTGAGCAGGAGACCCATTCTTGTCCTGCTCATTGCTGCCGCAATCAAGGATCCACAGCTACCAGCAATGGGGTGAGAGTGCACCCAGCTGCGGGTGACGGGATAAAAATAGTTAACGAAATGGATCCAGGCGTTATCGCCCTGGTCCGGCTTAAGCCTTTGGGAATGGTAAAGAAAATACCAGGTGCTGTTGCCCTGATGAGGCCTAAGCCTTGGGAACTGTAAAGAGAACAATGAAGGGTAAACATTGGTTAGCAAAACAAAGCAGGCAGTTTGCAAGATAAAGCAGGATGTGCATCTCAAAGACAGAAGAAACTCTGAATACCTGTAACCCTTAGTAGTTTTGCTAAATCGGGATGATAAGGGAGTAAAAGAGTGGAAAGTTACTGCTTAGCACTTAGTAGACTATAAAAGGGATGCAAAAGGAAATAAAGGTCTTCAGATTCCACCAGAACTGGAGTCCGTCTTTGATACGCCACACCCACCAAGCAACCCCAAGCTTGGAGGACGTCCTGCACCCAGCATCATGCTTCTGCTTCAGGGATGGAGCAGATCATCTGCAAACTGGGGCAACTGAGGCAACACTGAGCCTTGCATTAGAGGTTACCTAAAAGCCCTTGCCCAAACCTTGCCCATGAGCAGCTACAATAGCTGGCGTTCGGCAGCGCTCCTCTCTGCCATACACAGGAGCAAGGGGATGCTATCAAAACATTTTCATGGTTCTTTATGACCTGACCATAGCCCGAGTTGTCAGTGCAAGCTCAGGGGCTCTTCTTGGCCTGAACCAGTAATGCATCTTTATTTATAATTTTTGCAATGGCTAAGCTATATATTTCTGTGTGTGTATACGTACATAATAGAGAGGGTTTTCTCCTGCAATACCAACAGTAGCAGGCACAGACAGAGCAGGCGCATGATACTAAAGCCATGTCCCAGGGCTTCAGAAATGTACTTTCCATCATCAGTCCAATTGACTTAGTGTACTGCAACATGAGAGGTGGTGGCATGGCACGTCAGAAAGCAGCTAATGGAAAAGGCAGCAGCAGGGTCAGACTCAGCCCCATGACCTTGTAAGGCAGCATCATGCCCTCCAGGACCACGAATTTAAGGGAGCTTGTCACTGCAGACCTGCAGCATGATAAACCCCCTGCTGGGTTTTATCCTAGGAGGATCCCCAGGAGATCACCAGCCATCCCACATCCACAGGCCTTTGCAGCAGCAGGGATGGCTGGTCCAGTGATGCTGACATTATTCTGCACCCTGGGAACGAGTGCGTTGTACCATGAAGCCACTACCAACCACGGCTAGAAACAAGCCTTGCAAGAGTGAAACTGAGCAGCTGCATATCTCAGCATGTTATTAAAGCCACTGCAGGGTGCTTGTAATTTATACATCTGTGTGTTTGGCTGAGTCTTTGTCTTATTTAAGGTGGGGGGAAATCACCTCAAAATAGCTATGTGAAACTCTGGCTGATAAGGAGCTGGGTTGAAATAAAATAAAGAGGCTGTGGCTTGTGTGAAAACCATTTCAACCACCACACCAGGCCACACTCATATTTCCATGCCTCTCACATCCCCTGAATAAATCAACAGAAAGAGATCCTGATGTGGATTTATTTTATTTTTTACATTATGTTAGAGTTCAAAAAAAAAAAAAAAAGAACCCAACAAAATTAATAAATATTAAAAGTTAAAAAGCTCTGAATCTCGTATGTACAAAACTTTATACATCATTGTAACACTGGACAAGGTTACATCACAGGAATGACTTGGAGTACCTGCCAAGCCCAGGAGGATGCGAGGGACCAGATGCACCCTCTCCTCCCAGTGACAGCACCAAATCCCTGCAGGCAGCTGGGCCATCGCAGCACTACATCACCATGCCACAGCTTTCCATGCACTGTGACATCTGCAGGGCAAGAAACGACTCAACCTTAGCCTGCCCTAGGTGCTTCTTACACTCTCCTGGAACAAGCACCCAGGGCTGGGTCCCAGCCCTGCAGCATCACCCCCCAGAGCACTCAGTGTGGCAGAGGGGGTGGTTATCGCACCCTGTTTTAAATCTCACCCACCTCTCGCAGCTAGAAGTGGGGTTTAGCACCTGCAGCACAGCCCCCTTGCCCCGAAGCCCCCCCCCAGGAGCCCTGGCTGCGGGTTGCAAGGGGCTGGGCCAGCCCTGAGCCACAGCTCTCCTCCGAGGTATAGCAAGGAACCACCGCAAATATCCCTAACACAGTCAAGCACTAACGCCCAGGACAGCACTGAAGGGAGGGGTGCAGCTGAGAATCTGGGAGGAAGGAGTGGGTATGTATGCATGCATGCACACACATATACTGCACCCTGGAGACATTACAGCCCTTTTTTGACAGGCCAAGGTTTTGTTTTCATTCAATGGCTCAAAGACCAGAGGGCAGGGGGCTAAACGCTTGAGAAAAGCCTTGCTTTGGGCAGTAAAAGGCAAAGCAAGTTCAGTCCTGCCCCGAGCCAGCCCAGGGCTGTTCCAGCAGCAGGATAGGGTGTGGGACAGCTTGCATGGGCCCCAGCCCCTGCCACTAGGGAGAGCTGTTCCTTGAAGAGTAAACAAAGCATTATCTTTGGCACAATAAATAAATGCTGACCCCCACAGAGGGTGGTGCTGGTGGATAGGCTGGCACAGGGTACAGCAGCGGTGTCAGTGGTCGGAGGGATGAATCCCACCCTCGTACATCCACAGTATCTTGTTGATCCAACAGCTACTAATACCTGTACGCCTTGGACCTGGGCACCCCACTGCTGTGTTTCATCGGCATCCCTCCATCTGTCCGCTCCCACGAGGTGTGCTGGTTATTGGCTCAGACAGATGTGTGGCTTCCTTCCATCTTTTGTGAAGCCCACTTAATGTCAAAGGGCAGCACCCAAGAGGCAGGGAGCTCGTGTCTCAGGTGCTTATAAAAGTAATTAGATAAATGCTCTAACATTCAGAGACAATCCAGGGACAGAAGAGTGCACAAGCTGCAGCCTTAACATCTCTTTAGCCCTTTTTGTACTGTTGAATAGCTCCAGGGGAGCTTTGCAGAAGGAGTCCAAAGCTTAAAACATCAGGAATGCACAGGGGTATCCATTCATTTCCACTGAAGCATGTACCTCTACCTCTCCCCCGCCACAACCTACATCAAACCAGCAAAGGTATGCACACTGACATGAGCTCCTCTGAGATGCCCCAACCTCAAGTTTCTTGCAGCCACGAGTGTTACTAATGCAGTGCTTCGACAGCACTGACAGCACCAACAGCACTGAAAACACCAGGCTCAAACAGCAGCATGCCCTACACCCACAGGCTCTCAGTACATGTCAAGCACCCTGGGCCATTTCACCAGCAAGCCCTAGACACCTGAAGAACTTGCCCAGCACAGCCCCCAGAGATGCCCTGTCCTGCTCCTCCTCAGATGGCCAAAAGCAGCACCTCCAGGGCCAGCCGATGGACCCACAACCATGCACATACTCCCATGAGATCCTGCTTTGCAATGCCAAACTGGTCTATCTGCCAAGCCTTGCCCTCCTGCATCCCTCTGACCCCCAAACCTCCTCCCTACCAGCGATCATCCCCCACAGAAGCCCACCTTCCCCTTCAACTGCACCTGGAGGCACTGGATACCCTCAGCTGGGAGGATGCACACCCCTAAGCACCAAAACCATGACATGCCTGTGTCCTCAGGGACACAGCATATCACCTGATCCTGCTTTGGGGAGGTTCTGAGGACTGTAACTGCTCCAGGCAGACCCTGTGCCTGGAGCTATCCTGACATCAAGCAAGGTGTGTGCAGCTCTAGGCTCCTAAAGTGCTGTGCATACATTTTGTACTTGGCACAGTTAATTTTTGTTCCACGGGAGGGAGTGAAATGGAGGATTAATGCCATTAAAAAAGATGCAGATGAATCTTCCTCTCTCCTTGCTTTGTAACTGCCCCTAAAATCCACTCCCAGCTTCCCAGTCATCCCTGTTTCCCTCCATATGGTGTTGATGCCCCACAGGCACTGGGTACCAGAGTGCAGGGATCAGGCTGGTGGTCCTGGGGAGGCCAGGCATTGGTATCAGCTCAAGGCTGGCCAATGACAATATTGGCTAAAAAGTCACCACCAGGTGACAGGCATTTTTTACATGTATTTTTGGTCTTTCACCTTATTCTTATTGCTCCTGTTAATGTTGCCTGGACCATCTCTGCCTATCCTGCAATGAAAGACAGAAGCTGGTCTATGCTTCTTATACTCCATCCTCCACTCTACCCCAACAGGGACAGCCCAGGGCGGTAGTCTGGGCACTTCCCCACATTCCCACCCACCACACCTTACCACCTACCTCTGGTTGCTTTTGCCCCCCCCCCCATATTCCCAGCATCCTCCAGGACCCTTCTGTCCAGCACACCTGGTGTTGCTGCTTCGGGCAGGGGGAAGGAAAAAGCAACATTAAATCCCACCCACCCCCAGTCCTTTTAGCACCGTGGGAGGAAGCAGCCTGTCTACCCACAGCCAAGCCGCTGATGCTTTCTTTGCTCCTTTTTGCCTTTTTTTCTGTGGCGCTATCAACAGCAAAAAACCATGCCACAGCTGGGAAGGCAAGGGGGATCTTGGGAAAGAAGTGGTTTTCCTGGCAATTTCTGGGTGACTGGGTCGTTTCCAAACCCTGCAGTGCCATCCATGAAAACCACCACTGGAAGGTGGGGGAAGAGAGGAAAAAGAGGGGGAGGAGGAGAGTGAGGGAGGGAGGTAAAGGTTTCCCCCTGCCCCATGAGGAGGTGTCCTGAGGGGTTACCTGGCTGCATAGCCCCTGCCCGGCTCACTCGGGTCTGGCAGCCCCCTGGGTAAAGCACCGCTGCTGGGCATCCCTCCACTGGTGGCTGGCCCGGCCTGAGGCACCGGTGTGTGGCCCCCCTGGTGTTCCCTCTGGGCAGAGGCAGTGGGGCCGGGGGAGAGCAGGGGAGCAGGGCTGGGAGCAGCAGTTCCCGGGAGAGCGCTGGGGCCGGTGGCTAGGGGCGAGCTGGTGGTGGAGGATGCCTTCTTGCTGCAGGATTCACAGCAGAGCTTGTTGTAGCCAGGGATGGAGCAGTAGCGAGCCAGAACCTCCATCTGGCAGAAGATGGACTTGTCCCCAAGGCAGGGTTCCCCTGGAGAAGGACAGAGCAGAGTCAGGCAGAATGAAAGACTATGGCATTGCTCCCACCACTGCACTCTTCCAATCACAGAATCAGCTCGGTTGGGAAACACCTTTAAGATCATCAAGTTCAACCATTACCCCAGCACTGCCAAGTCCACCACTAAACCGTGTCACTAAGGGCCTCATCCACATGTTTTCTGAGCACTTCTAGGCACTTCCACCCCCTTTGCAGGGTGCTGTCAAACCTACTATTGCTCTCTGCCCCAGGCAGCAATTCTAGCAATGCTTGTACAG